AATGAGCTCAGCCACTAGTTTTGCTACTGCGTGGTGAGAGGAGTATCACTAGGAGAACTACTGCGTGGTGAGGCTTGTGGTTAGTAGAAGCTGGCTACTGGAATTGGTTGTCACGATTGGACTTGTTGCATGGTGAATGTGATTAGCTATTATGAATCTCTTTTTATTTGATTAAAATGTACATTTTTTTTACTGACTTCAATTTTTATAAATAACTAAATAACAAAAAAAATTAATATAATTTTCAGAAGTCATTTTTAAAATTTGTAAATTTATCTAAGTGTTTTTTTTTTCTGGTAGTGTACATTCAACTAATGCGCACAATTGAGACCATTGTAACGACATTGAATATAATATGCTAAATCATTCAGGACAAGTGGTTATATGACTTATGAGTTGAACTGAAAGCAAATTGAATATACATTATTGTTACACCAAATTAAACAACTTTAAACTATTATTTTAAGATCTATTCTTATCGTTTCCTAAGTTATTTACGTTCTTGAATTGATTCAGTTTTTTGGAGTAGTTCACAAAAATAAAAATAAAATATTTATAAATTATATATAATAACTAGCTACCTACTAGGCTACTAGTGTATATTTCTTTAATTAGTTGACATTATTGAAGATTTGAAGGAATCTTAATCCTGGTAGATAATAAATAAAAAATATTAAAAAGTAATAAAAAAAAAAAAGAAACTAAAAGAGTCAAAAGACACAAAGAAGTCAAATTATTTAATTAACTTATTTATAAATAATTATTACCTCTTGACAAGTAACTTTTTTAGGTAAAAATTTTAGTATACATGCATTTTTTTTTATATGGATCATTTTTTTTTAATCGGACTCCACCATATAACTAGATATTTGTGAATATAATATACATTGAACATGGTAAAATTATCAAATGAAACATTGGGCTATACCAAATTTGAGTACTACGAGCAAAAGGATAGAAAAGATTGATTTTTTTTTTTTTTTTTTTTTTGGTTAGGAAGAATAAATAAATATTTTTCAAGTATTCACATTATTATATTGAATATATATTTTGTAATTAATAATTCTTCATGTAAATATAATAAAATCTACGAATTGAATTGAGCATGTATCATGTATGCAGGCCAGATTGTGCAACACTTCAAAGACCGAACAATTTTCATTTCAATTTCTCTGACTTTGGTGGCAAAATATTTATTATATTTTTCTAGTGGATTTGAATTATGTATTTTAACAACCATTGCATATGCAGTCCGATCCAGGGGAGAGAGGAGCTAGTGCTATGCAATCATTTATCAGCTTATAAAACTGCAAAAATATTACTTTGAACATCTCAGCACACTACATGCATGCTTATACCTTAGCTTAGTCATTGGTCTTCCTTCAATTCTTCTTCAGATTTTGACTCAGTAATATATATATATATATATATATATATATATATATATATATATATATATATATATATATATATATATATATGTATTTTTTTTTTCTTTTTTGGGTTTAACAACATGAGTTATATGGATTTTCCGAGGTAGGTGTAGTCAGGGGTCAATGTTCAATTGTTCATCAAGACAATCTCAAGTGATGCATGTATTTTGACATTTAATTTTGAGACTATTTAGGGGTGTTTGGTAAAGGAACGTCATGCTGTGGAACCGTGTCCACTTTGTAAGGTGAGCATGGTTACGGATTCATAATTTTTATACTGTAAATTCATAATTTTTAAACTGTAGATTCATAATTTCTATACCGTAGATTCATAATTTAAATACAGTATATTCATAATTTCTATATGGTAGATTCATAAATTTTATATTGCAGATTCATAATTTCTAAACTGTATATTTATCAAATTATGAACATATAGTTCAGTGATTTGTGAATACAGAGTTCAACAATAAAGTATCGAAAATTATGAACATATAGCTCTATAATTATGAACATATATTTATAAAATTATGAACATATAGCTCTATCACATGTTCACAAATCTAGTACTGTAGATTCATAATTTCTATACTGTAGATTCATAATTTCTACACTGTAAATTCATACTGAAGACGAAACAATGCGATTGCGGAGCTAGAGAAAAACGCCGTTAACGACAAGTGAAAAATAATTTTTTTTAATTAAAAAAATTATGAATCTACAGTATAGAAATTATGAATCTGGAATTGTACCCACCTTGCAAGGTGGGCACGTTTCCACAACATAATTTGCCTTTGGTAAATAGTTGTTAGTTGATTGGGTTGGTGAGTTTAAGTAGTTGATAACATTAGCTAATTGTAGAAAGATGTTTAATAAATTAGCTATTAGCTGATAGCTGATTACATGCATGCGTGTAATGACTTTCCCAAAAGCTAATAAAAAAAAATACTTTGAGCAACTTTTTGAATTTTACAGGGCGTTTTGGGTGAAGGAAATTTAAATTCCCTTCCCATTTAATTCCCACCTAATTCCAAAGGCCACAAAATTCTCTTGTTTGGTTGAAAGGAATTGCAATTCTCCCATTTTCATGGAATTAAAATCCCATGCCCTCCACCCCCCCCCCCCCCCCAGGGGATTTTAGGAAGAAAAAAAAATAGTGATGAGTCAAAATTACCCTTTTCTTTTTTAACCTACAATTAATGCCTAACAACAATAATGGACATTTTTAACTTTATACTACTTATTCCCTTCCAATTCCCATGTATACCAAACATTGGAATTGAAATTCCCAGTAATTCTATTCCTGTAAACCAAACACTGAAATTTAAATTCTCACTTTATTCCCAGTAATTCATCTCCCATGGAATTGCAATTCCTTTTCCACGTAATTCCCCATCTCCAACCAAACGCCATGTTAGTGTTTTAAAACAATAAGTTGTTACAAAGAACTAATTAATTGTTTAATCAAGACAAACAGTTAACATAATAATGGTCAAACATACTAAAATTGACTGATTAGCTAATTATGTTATCATAGCCTTAGTCGTTTTTATTATAAGTAAGATCGATGTAGTAATATAATGGGTGATTTAGACATGATTTATGTAGATAGACTTTTTCAATGCAGATTTTTTCATGTTGCTATGGTCTAAAATTTCTCCATGTTAGGGGTCCATATATATCCATCAACAACAATTTTAAATAAAATATTTTTGTCTTTTGAGAATATTTAATCATGTTTATTTAAAGCGAAGCCTTATAGGCAATAGTTTGTTTTAGCTTAGTGATTGTTACATTTTAATTATATATTTATCTTTTAATCAATATGCAATATTAGAAAACTCACGCTTATTACTTATTGTTCAACTTTTCTAACCAACCTCAAAATTAGATAGAAGTTTAGGATGCTAAGACCTTGTGGTCTAATGATATACGAATTGGATTTTTATATGGGAGATTGTGAGTTTGAGTCTTAGTGAATGCGTGGAGGCGTTATTATCTCTTTGTGTTTCAATAAGTTGAAAAATTATTTACGAACAGAGAGAGGGGAGAGTTTTAATAGTTGAGAGTTTTAGACGACTTATACGAGCCAGATAGTCAAAGACGTATGGTAAAAAAAAGGTCCCGAGAGAGTTTTAATAGTTGAGAGTTTGACTTTAATCCTCTTGTAAGTTGTAATTTCAACACATATTTCAAATGTTTGACTTATACGAGTCAAATAGTCAAAGACGTATGGTAAAATGGTAAAAAAAAGGTCTTGATGCACCAGCGGGCACGTGCAGTGTGTGATCAATGCCGCACACGCACGCCACGTACTGCAACTTTCTCTTCTCCTTTCTCTCTCTTGCAGGTCCCACAAAAAGACGAAAGATCTTACTTATTATCACTCATCCACATCACTTACCTTTTCTCAAAATCTGGTCCAAATTCCACGTACTAATGTGGATGACCTTAGATCAGTCTTACTGTGGTTAGTGATTTGGTGAATATATGCAGTTGGTCTTTTTGTAGAGATGTAGTTTCCTTGTAGTTCCTTTGATGCTACTTTGCCATGAACAAAAAAAAAAAAAATCTTAATGGACTAAATTTTCAGCCGCAGAATCAACTATAAAGAAACACTCATCTGGAGTGCAGCTAACCTACAACTATCCTTTTTTTATTTTGTTTTTAATTATCATTTTACTAGAAGCAACATATAACTATCAATTTAATTGTAGATTATATTTTAATTAAATATCTATAAATGTGAAATCATAAGTGTATATATATACAAAATCCGATTCATACGAGAATCCCTCTTCATGTAAGAACGTGAAAACTAATTTGCTGTATTATTTACAAAGCGTTTGGTTGGAGGGATTTTAAATTCCCTTTCCACTTAATTCCCACCTAATTCCAAAGGCCATTAAATTTCGTAGTTTGGTTGGAGGGAATTGCAATTCCCTCATTTTCATGGAATTAAAATCCCATGTCCCCCCCCCCCTCCCCCCCCCCCCTCCCCCCCCCCCCAGGATTTTAATTCCTGGGAAAAAAAGATTGTGATAAATCAAAATTACCCATTCCTTTTTTATCCTAAAATTAATGTCTAACAACAATAATAGACATTTTTGACTTTATACTACTTATTCCCTTTCAATTCCCATGTATACCAAACACTGAAATTGAAATTCCCAGTAATTCTATTCCTGTCAACCAAACACTGGAATTTAAATTCTCACTTTATTCCCAGTAATTCAACTCCCATGGAATTACAATTCCTTTCCCACATAATTCCCCTTCCAACCAAACGCCCTGTTAGGGTTGGGGTGCTTTTTTTTTTTTTTTTTAATAATAATAATAATAATAATAATAATAATAATATTAATAAAATCGTGGGGTACGGTAGTTTCGGGATTCTATTGTATATTATCTTTCCTGCAAGTTAGGGGTTTCAGTTCCTTGTATGATTGATGTGCGTAATTGTAGGGATTTTTTGTTCGCAATTTGAATTGCAGGCATCAGTTTCAACATCGTCTCTTCTCTTCTCTTCTCTACGTTTTCCGTCGCCGGTCGGAGGGGTTTATCGCCATGACGTCAGGTTAGTTTCTGACTCCATTATTTTATTATTATATTATATTTTTCCTATCATAACGTTGGCGTATATATAGTATTGCGATTTAGTTGTTGATATTAGATTTTGCTTGTGCTGTGTTACGCTGTTGTCTTGTGTGTATTAATTAGTGGTTCGATCGTTTCCGCCGATTATGTTTTTGGGGGCTGAGTTGTATGTCGCGGCGGTGCTACGGTGCTGCGGCGGTTCTGTTGGTGTATGGGGGATGTTCATTATTGAGTGCATTTATTTGAGCAATAATACGTACAGTGCAACTATCATTAAGTTCATTTGTGTTGACAGTACAGTGTTAACTTAGTATTATAGGTATCTTTTTTTTTTTTTTTTTCGTAAATATAAACTTTATACATGATTATTAAACAATAATATATTAATATATAAATGCTTTCTCTTTTTTTTTTTTTTTCTCTCTCTTTATACTTTTTAAAATAGTATAATTAAAATTTACCAATACGGTTTTATTTGTTGTGTGGCATTGTGTATTATTCTGTGTTTGTAGGGTAGGAATGTGTTGTTTACGCATGTCTGTGTATTTGCTTATGTTGATTTTATTTGTTGTGTGGCATTGTGTATTATTCTGTGTTTGTGTGTTTTGTTGACTTCTTGGGTTGTGTTTGTTTTTCGTAGGACATGATGATTCATCATGTGGCTCTCACGGCCGGTGTGTTATGGGTATTCCTATGGAGTCTGCGAAGTATTGGGCTCCAGAATGTGACCCCTCGATCGAGCCAATTGTTGGGCAACGTTTTGCCACTTTGAATGATGGGGTTGAATTCTATAGTCAATATGCTTCGGTGGTGGGATTTGACATTCGCCATGGCTCTGAAAAAAGGGATGAGCAAGGGGAAATTGTGCTGAAGTATGTGTTGTGTTCTCGTCAGGATTTTAAGCAGTCCGGGGGTGAAGGGAGTGGTGAGGGAGGGGTGCCTGAGGTTACCTCAACACCGTCTAAGAAGCATAAGGTTTCCAATAGGGTGGCTTGTTATGCAAGGATTGAGTTCATGCGAGTTAGGGGTGGTGGGTATAAGGTGTTTTCGTTAGAAAAGCAACACAACCATTGCTTGTGTTCGGAGGTAGCTAGACCTTTTTTGAAGGTTAATCTCAAGTTGGATATTGGGCAAAAGAATTTTCTTGCATGTTATGGTAAGGAAAATATTGGTCCTATGAAGTCTTTTAAGATTTATAAAGAAGGGTAAGTGAGTATTCAAATATAGGGACCACGAGTGTAGATTTTGATAATTTTGAATGTGGTTTGATGCCCTATATTAGGGGTAGTGATGCGCAATTGGTTCTTGAGAAATATCTTCAAAAACAAGAGTTTTGCCCTGGATTTTTCTTTGACTACGATGTGGATGAGAATAACCAGCTTTGTCGAGTGTTTTGGGCGGATCCTGTGGCGCAAAGGAATTTTTCATGCTTTGGTGAAGCCGTGTCATTTGATGTTATGTATTGTACGACTAGGTTAGTACATTTTGGCATTGTGTTTTGTGTAGTCGCTAGGTGGATGTGGGGTTGGGTTTTTAGGTGTCTTATACGTATGTATGTGCATGTTGGTTTCTTTTTTTTTTTTTTTTTTTTTTTTTTTTTTTTTTTTTTTTTTTTTGTGCACTTATGCTTTGTTGTACTGTTTTGGTTGTTCGCTCAATTTTATGTCTCGCCGTAGGGATTTGTGTTTGTTATGGTGTGCACGTTTGTTTTGTTATTGTTTTTTTGTAGATGTTGCAATTTTTCATTTTCATAGTTTTTTTACCTTGTTATGTGTGCAGGTATAACATGGTCTTTGTCTCATTTACTGGTGTTGACCACCACAAGAAATGTGTTACGTTTGCTGCGGGGTTGATTGCTAAGAAAGATGTGGAGTCGTATGTATGGTTGCTTGAGAATTTCAAGCATGCTATGGGGCATGTGCCACCTTATATGGTGACGAATCAAGATCCTGCCATTAAAGTTGCTGTATCTAGGGTTTTTTCTTCCACGAGGCATCGTTTTCGCATGTGGCATATCATGTCCAAGGTTGGCGAGAAAGTTGGACCAGTGTTGGCGAAAGATGAATCGTTTCGACATGATTTGGACGCCGTTGTGTGGAATGAGTGTCTAACGGTTGAAGAGTTTGAGTCTAGGTGGCGTGTTGTGATGGAGCAATACAGGCTTATTGAGCATAGGTGGTTCTGTCATATGTTTGATTTGCGTGCATATTGGATTCCTGCTTTCTTTCGGGACACGTTTATGGCTGGATTATTTCAGATGAATTCTCGTTATGAAGAAGAGAATAGTGTGTTTGGAAGTTGCACTAATCTTCATTCCACCTTAGTGGAGTTTTTCATTCATTTTGAAGGTGCAATTGACAACCAAAGACATACACATGCAACACTCAATGCGAATTGTGATGGTAATTTTCCAAAGTTGAAGACACCCTTGATGATTGAGCGCCACGCTGCGGCTGTTTATACCACTACGCTTTTTTATGAGGTTCAATCTGAGATTTATGATGCGTGTTTTTGGCCCCGGATTCTTTCCAATACCCATGATGGTGATCTCAGGCAATTTGTAGTTGAAGATGAGGATGTGGGATCATTTAATGTTGTCTTGAATGTTTCTGACAATTCAGTTGAGTGCAGTTGTAGAATGTTCCATCGGGTTGGGTTGTTGTGTAGGCATGTATTTTTGGTGTTCAAGAATTCATGCGTAGAATGTATTCCTCTTCAGTATATTGTTGCCCGGTGGACACGTGGTGCATGCTTGCAGTCGATTTATGAAGTCAAAGGTGCTCGAGTGGATCAGGGCCGTATTTTAAATTTTGGTGGCCCTGTTCTAGTAAATAAATGTGGCCCTACCAAAATCACAATTTTTAAAATTAATACATGTAAGTTTCGAACCTTTGACCTCCAAGTTAAAATACAACAAATACACATTCTTACCATCTCTTCATAGAACCTTTTAAGTTTAATTAAAAACTTTTAATTTTTATTTATAAACTAGCTAGGTAAAAATTAAATATTGGACCTTTAAAATTTGGGGCCCCTCTAAAGTTGGGGGCCCTGTGCGGTAGCCCAGCTTGCACAGCCTAAAATCCGGCCCTGGAGTGGATGGTAGTATTGGTGTTGAAGTTGCAAATTTGTCGTCTTCGTCTAACGTTGTTATTCAGCCTCCTACCATTGCTAAGAATAAGGTGTCAGGAAAGCGGTTGAAATCCGAGGAAGATAGTTGTTGAACAATCTATTAAGGCTAAACACTTGTGTAGAGCTTGTAACTAAGCTTGTTAGCTCACCATGACATGCAGCTGTATGTAGTTTGTTAAGTTGATGTTGTTTATTTGCTATGGTTTCATTAGATTTTTTGCCCTTTCAAAAGATTGTTGGTGTGCGTTCTTATGTTTCATGGTGTTTGAATTGTGTAATTTGGAAGATTTTTTTGTTTTTATTGCTTGTGTGACTATTTATTCCAGTTTGGATGGTGTGTAAGTGTGTTGCCTTTTATTCCCTCTTAGTGTTGTGCATGATAGGCCAAACCATTGTGATTTTTGTATTGTATACATTAGATGGGATGTGCATTGTTGTTTAATACATAACAAAGATATATATTATTAATTAAATACCCATTATATATGCATTAAAACAGAAATAATTTATTCCTTAAAATTGGTGAGGAATAACCTAATATTTGGCATCCCTCAAAATAGTTATTCTCCTTGTAAGGAGAATAACTTACTATTGGGAATTATGTTTTCAGGATTTCAAAAAAAAAAATTGTCAAACAATGAAATAAACTAATTCTTATCAATTTTATTCAATTTCATTTCTATTTCGATCGTGAACCAAACATGGTGAAGAATAACAATATATTTTAAAATGACTTTCATTAAACCTCTTATATGAAAATCAATCACATATTTATATATATTGTGGTTCTCATTATTATCATCATCCATAAAGAAAAAGGAAAATTACACTCATGAATATGGATGTCAATCTTAACCGTAATTGATGGGTTGGCTTGATAAGTCCGGAAATTTTTAGAGTTAAGGTCAATAAATTTTAACTCATAAAGATATTCTTTATTTCACAAGTGATTTGAAAAAATATATATAGAGAGAATTTATATGTATGTTCATATTTAGTAATTTTTATTAAATTTGTAAATAAAATTTTAATAAATTTATTACAAAATAATTTTTTTAATGAATTTTTTTTTTAAAAAAAAAACTTATTGTAATTATTATATTATAGTATAAATATAATAATTATTTTTAGTTGGAATTTGAAAATTGAGATCGAATTTTTTTAAGGCAATAAAACGAAGTTATATTATTGCAAAAGGCTAGAGCCGTCGAAACGGTCTCGCGGGGCGGGATGGGCCAAAACACACCAAAGCCCGTCCTCGTAGCGGGACGGGTTAAAAAGCCCGCCTCTTAGCGGGCTTGGAATGTGGCCGGCCCGCCCCGCCATGCCAAAGCCCGCTGGCGGGGCGGGCTAGCCCGCCAATCAATTTTTTTGTTGTGTTAATTTTAAAAAAAAATCACTGTACAATATCCTTAAAAAACAAAAAAAAGAAAAAAAGAATCATTGTACAAACGTACAGTACACTAACATAGTAACACTACCTAGTATTGTATTCCTATAAATCTATAATCCTATAAGTTATAACACACTAACACAATTACACAAACCAAATAACATGTATTAAGTACTAAATATATATACAAAATATATATGTATTAGCAGGTCGCGGGCTAAACCCGTGACCCGCCCCGCCTGGACCCGTGACCCAGGCGGGACGGGCCAAAAAGCCCGCCTCCTGGCGGATCAAAATTTGAAGAACCCGTCCCCTACCTATGGGGGTACGGGACGGGTCGGCCCGGCGGGTAAAACCCATTTTTGACGGCTCTACAAAAGGCCACCTTAGAAACTAAAGTATGAGCCACCAAATTATCACGTCTAGAAATTAAACGAAAGAAAACATTAGAAATAATAGCAGACAGAATATCCCTACAATCATTGGTTGCGATGCCAACGTATGACCGCATCATGACCTTGGTTGTTAAGTTGCGATGAAGAATGGAGCAGTCAATGAACAATGTGACAGATCAGAGGTAATCCCACGATCCCTGGCTGAGATCGGATTTAGATTCATTAAATAATGTATACGTTTTTTGTAAACACTCATTTGAGATCGGATTTAGATTCATTAAATGATGTATAAGTTTTTCTTAAACACTCATTATTCTTTGAAATGGTATCAAAGGTATCATCACACGACATAATAATTAGCATGTATAAGTTGGATATTAAACAACTGACCCGATTGTGGAATATAATAATTGTGATTTTTCCCTAGCTAGGCTTCTACATATAATACTCTTCAAAAAAAACACTAGAAGATGCAACAAATTAAAGTAATGATAATAATATATAAACATATTTAATTATGGTTGACCACTACATTATTTATTCTATTAAAAAAAAAAAGCGAGCAGTTTCCCTGGAGCTTCTCCAAAGTTTCGGGGATGCTTCATTAATGGTAGTGAGTGCATATATGGATCCGAGCTGGGCGGTCTGATGAATTAATATAAGTCAAGCAAATGAAGCTAGCGTGCATGCATGATGGAGAAAGATTAGGTAGTGTGCATGATAGATGATTGTAAGGACTGTATGTGGAATTCCAAATAGAGGACAAACCCATCAAGAAATTCACAAAGAGCCCACCATCACCCAGCTAGCTAGCTAGCATCAGATCGAGTAACAAATATTTATCACTACTCATAATAAATACTTTGTAATTTTAAAACTAAATGTCACTTAATTGTTATATATAATGTTCATTATATATCATAGAAAATTAAACTTGTTTAATATATCATTATTATTCCACAATATTAATTCAGAATTTAAGATATATATATATATATATATATATATATATATATATATATATATATATATATATATATATATATATATATATATTGTTAGGAACCTTGTATTAGGATTTTGATGATACCAATGTAATGTAGAAAGTAGACCCCTAACTCTTACGTTTTTTTTATTGTATCGCTACTTTCGTTCTAGACGAAAGTTGCCATAACTCATATGTAATTCGTGTTAAGCTAGAACAAACACACGAAAAGAGTTATGAATAGAAGATAGGCTGATCAAGGCGAAAGAAGACTCCACAGCAACGAAAGAAGGAGTTGTCATTAAAAAGACAGTTCTTTTCAAGACTATCTCAACAAGTATTCTTCTTCTCATCAACAAGAAGAATGCTCTACTTGTCTGATTTGACAACATCCTAGGACAATAAGGACCTCAACTCATGGGACACGCTATCCAAAGAGCATTTAATGAAGTTGTACTATCTCTGGAGCTAAAAGACAAAAGTCATCAGATCCTCCATACCTTCAACGGCTACATAGTACAAACCCATTAATGGAGCATTAAATGCATGAGGCTCCATGGTCCTTGTCCAACAGATAAAAGGTTTGAAAAATTCATCTCCCTCCAACAGATGAATTTTCATCACCTATATAAACCAACCTTCATCAACTAAGAAGGTGCTGGTTCATTATCACTCTACTCACTCTCTTGCAAAAAGTTCTTAAAAAGTGAACAATCTCAAAGCTTTTTGCGAACCAGTTATTTAAGGTGTTAAGGCATTTGAAGTAGATCACCCATCACTGCCCTACATCTTGTAAGAAGTCTTGCACTCTTGAAGCAATCATCCCACACCAACAAGACTTCACAGTTGGAGGAATCAAGAAATACTTTCTCACCAACCTCAACTTAGAAGAAGAAGTTGATAGAGGCGGAGTAAACTCTCGGAGTTGAAAAACCTTCAAAGGCTGTCCGGCTTAGTGATCAAGGAAGTCTTTGTGTAATTGTACTAAAGAGTGATAGTGCAATCCTTCCAGCAGTTGTGGAAGAAGAGTGGAAGTAGGCAAAGTTTGGCCGAACCACTATAAAATCTCGTCTCGCTCTTCTCTTTACTTACTGCTTTATTTTACTGCTTGCATATCATCTTTTTCATCACTCATCTTATCCTTTTATCAAACTCGTGCAACTCTCTCTTTATAACCTTTCCGATGTGCTTATCTTACTCAAAAGTGTTGTCAGGGTTTTTCTTTTAAAAATCTAAAGAAAAACGAGAGTCTATTCACCCCCCCCCCCCCCCCCTCTAGACTCACCACACAATCTATCGGGACCAACAGTGGTATCAGAGCCGAATACCTTGAACGGTAAAGGCTTTTTGCATTTTACTGCCTGGTAGATCCACCTTTGAAATTTTTTTTGGATCTTTTTCGTTGCACGATTGTTTTTTAATGGAAAAAGAATATGCACAAAATCGCTCTAAACAGCTTGCTTTTAGTCTTGCCAAGTTTGATGACTGGAAATTGAGAATGCAGGCTCTTCTGTGCTCTATTCATGATGAAATGTGGGACGTCATAACTACTGGACCTATCACAGTGATGATGGCAAATGCACAGGCTGCTGCTCAAGGACCAGATGCTCCACAAATGATACCTAAGCCGAAAGAGCAGTATACCTCGGAAGAAAGAACAAGAGCAAACCTGGACAATGTGGCAAGGAACATTCTTTACAACTCTCTAGATGATTCACTCTTCCCCAGAGTCAGAAAATGTAAAAATGCTATGGAAGTATGGAAAGTTCTAATGGACTTGGGAGAAGGAGATGAACAAGAAAAGGACAACAAACTGACAATAGCCATGAAGAAGTTCGAAGACTTTAAGATGCAACCAAACGAGACGATCATGGAGATGGAGCTAAGATTCACAAGACTAATGGGAGACTTATCAGACCTTGGAAAAGAACTCACCGAAAAGGAGATGAATCTAAAAATTCTTCGTGGATTGCCGAAGTCATGGGAGATGAAGGTCATCGCGATGAGAGATAATCGTGACATGAAAACAACACCCACAGCCAAAATCTTCAGTGATCTCAAAGCATATGAGTTTGAACACAAACCGAAAGATGCTGAGGAACCAGAAACGAGAAATATTGCCCTCGTAGCAAATCAGGCGGCGTCAACCCCTAACAGGTCGAAATCTAACTCTTGTGATTTTTTAACTGACGAACAATATGCCCTATTTGTCAGGAAGATGAAAAGATTCATGAGAAAGAACAACTTTCAAGATCCACAACGGTCAAGCCACCAAAAGAGGCATGAAAGATTCCCTCAGGCTTCAAAGACCGAAACCAC